GAGCATTAACATTTTATGTTACCATTAATAATTTCATGGATTTTTCTCATCTTTAAATGCTAACTACCTAAATGTCTAAAGCTTACCATCCTCAACAAACTAAATAATAATTTCCAAAATATTTTTTGTTTAAAAACCACATTATAAACCTCCATCCCAAAAGCCTCAGGTATCAATGTGTCACATCCAAGACTCATTGTGCCATACTGTGTGAATTTTAACTCCCCATACTGTGTGAATTTTAACTCCCCACTGAACTCTCTATGTTCTATGTCAAAGTCAGTGACACTCTGACCAAAACAATAGCTACTTCTAATGCAATTGTGTCTAGATTGCATCACAACTAGCAATTTAACTTTTAAAGTTCTTCTTAAACTTTTTAAAGTTGCAGCATTTACTAGCAACTAGATCACTGTTTTATATCCTAGTCATTTCAAATTCAGATAAAAACAAAAGTCCCATGTACATTTCTAGTCACTGCAATTTTCAGAAACCACCCACCATCTGTTCAACAAGGTTTTGCTCCTTCCAATGAATGTGCTGTGTTTAACTCATTTTAAACAAATCTTCTTCCTTCATTTTCTCCCATTCTGTAACTTCCTTGGACACCAAATTATTTCCACTCTGCTATGAACACTGCTGTTTCTCAGGCTGATGGGAGCTTGTAAATCTCACTTAATATCTTTATTCAATTCTGTATAAGGTGTCAAGCCTTTCTCCAAAGCAACAGGCATTGGACCAGGATTATATGAAAAGAGTAGTGGCATGGAGGATAAAAGAACTGAGGGAATGGAAGAAAGAAAAGAGCCATGGTTGTTTGCCAAAGCTGTACAATGTTGAGAAATATGTTAGTAAGAGCACAAGGATTGCTTATTGTACACTTAACACTATGCTGACTGGCTAATTTCCCTAAGACTGAAGGCAGATATTTGTATAATTAAGAAATAACCATAGGATCATTGCTCAGTAACTCTACAAAAAGCCCTGCATTCTGATGTCAGAGACCATTCTATTATAATGGACAGCAATATTTCTTCCGTGGAATTTTCAGCAACTTCATATATTGCCTGCTTGAGGCACTAAAGAGACACTGAGTAATTTTAAAAGGGGAAATACAGGGATTGGTAAGGAATGTAATAAATGTAGGACTAACATTTGCCATTCTATAAAAAACATTTCCATCACAAGAAAAGCACAGTGGCCGATCATCATCAGATACAAAGGTGGGATCCTTAAACTATGGGCAGAGTAAGTATATATGCTTATCTGGTCAAGACTTGAATGGTTGCACTATTAAAACCTAAAAGAGCCCCAGTAGTGTTTGTAAGTCACAATGCTGTAGACAGCCAATGCAAAGGAAAAAGATGCAGGCACAATTCAGCCTCAGTAGTGCAAACCAGTTAGCAAACTTCCTGTTGCATACTAAACCAAGTGCAAACAGACCAGCCATACTGAGAAATTTGTCAAGCAGGACTTGAGGTTCAAGACCATGAGTGCTTGCATACTGATGTTGATAGTGATAATTAATCCTTCTAAAAATAAAATAAATCCTACAAAAATTGAAAGGATCCTTTACATGACTGGTTTAGAGCCAGACTTTATAACAAGAGACAAAGATACCCTACAATCTAAATAATAAAAGTTGCTTTCAACTTGGGTATAAAAGAATAATGACTTGAGTTAACTATATTTTTTACAGCATTAAGCCCCACTGGCTGATACGGTGCAAAATTCTACAGTAAGAAAGAATATTCCAGAGGAAATACTGTGTAAGAAGAAAGATCAAGCTGCTTGTGAGAGCCTTATTTCAATAAAATTCTGGCTCAAAATCCACTGGAAAACAATGAAAAGACTTCCATTGACTTCAGAAGGCCCAAATAAGTTGGGGAAGCAACTTTTCTGAACTAAAAATGGAAAAGACCAACTGAACGTACTTAAGAGCAGCCATACTGGATCAGACCAAAAGTCCATCTAGCCCATTATCCTGTCTTCTGACAGTAGCCAATGCCAGGTGTCCCAGAGGGAATGAACAGAACAAGAAATCATCAAGTGATCCACCCTTTATCATCCATTGCTAGCTTCTGACAAACAGAGGTTAGCGACACCATTCCTGCCCATCTTGGCTATGTATCCTGCATGAATTTATCTAGTTCTTTTTTTTTTTAACTCTGTTAAAGTCCTAGTCTTCACAATGTCCTCTGGCAAGGAGTTCCAAAGGTTGATTGTGCGTTGTGTGAAGAAGCAGTTTGTTCTAAACCTGCTACCTATTAATTTCATTTGGTGACCTCCTAGTTCTTGTTATGAGAACAAGTACATAACTTTTCCTTATTTACTTTCTACATACCAAACAATTTTATAGATCTCTATTATACCCACCCCTTAGTCCTCTCTTTTCCAAGCTGAAAAGTCCCAGTCTTATAAATCTCTCAATAGCAGCCATTCCTAATCTTTTTACTACTCCTCTTTAAACTTTTTCCAATGCCCAAGATACCTTTTTTGAGATAAAGTGACCACATCTGCACAGTATTCAAGATGTGGGCATAGTATAGATTTATATAGAGGCAATAAGATATACTTGTTATTTTCTATCCCTTTCTTAATTATTCCTTTTTTAAATGGCTGCTGCACACCGAGTGGATGTTTTCAGAGAACTATCCACAATGACTCAAAGATCTCTCTCTTGGGTGGTAACAGCTAAATTAGTCCCCATCATTCATATGTGCAGCTGGGACTATGTTTTCCAATATGCATTACTTTGTATTTATCAACATTAAACTTCATCTGCCTTTTTGTTGCCCAGTCACCTAGTTTTGAGAGATCATTCTGAAGCTCTTCACAGTCTGCTTTGGACTGCACGATCTTGAGCAGTTTAGTATCATCTGCAAATTTTGCCACCTCACCACCCTTTCTCCAGATCATCTTTATTTTGCAAAAATCTCATTGGACTGTATGGAACATTATTCAAGGTAATACTGTTACTTTAGCACTGTACACTGAAATAAGTGTATGAACCCCAACTAGATATGTGAGACAGCAGAGTTAATTAACCCTGAATGCTAGCATCACCATCCTACCATGAACACAGAGGCACCCTAAAAATCAAACAGACCAGGAGTCCTATTAATTTCAATGCAATTTCATAAAGATTATGCATAGTACAACTATGTAAATAAAAACTGGATAAGCACAATTGAGCAATTATGTATCTAAAAAACCTAGAACCATGGGGAAGTATGCTTTTAATGACATCCTTATCTAGGGAACCAGGATGAGGGAGCTAAGTCAAAGGAAACAAAATATGAAAACAATATTCAAATGAAAACCATGAAGAATTGCTACTTCATTTTCAAATCAACCTCTTGAATATATGCTGTTTAAGACCATCCACATTTCCCTGAGCAATCATGCTACAATACTATATACAGTGCAAAGAACTAGGGTTAATACAGCATAATGCAAAACCAAGCCAAAAACAAACAAAAGCAAAAAACTCCCAAAGAAATATCAAAAAGTAAAGTAAACACTCATTTGCCAGTCAGTGTTAAATTCAGAGAAAAGTTTTAAGATCATTAGTTAAGAGGCACTATAGGTCTGTGACCAGGAATGGTAAAGAAAACCTTACACTTACATAGGTATGCACAAATGCATGTCATGCACTACAGCCTGCTCATATACATCACATAGCTATGTAAGATCCAAGGGTTTTTAGTCCTACTGTGCATTCTTTGAAAGGTATTTTCAAATAGCCACTACTTCATTATGTCTAAAGAAAACTAAGTGCCTAGCAAAATAACTATGCACTGAGGCCAGGTGTCTGCATAAACTCACCTTAAAATTAAGACTTTCCCCTCGTTCCATAATTTACAATAGATTCAAATTGAACTGAAGTTCAATTAAATCTCCAAAGACAAAAAACTTTATGTAGAGACCAAAAATGGCAAATTTTAATAAGAATGGAGAATTCTTAAAAAATAATTATGAACAATGGAAACTGCGTTATAAAGAAGTAATTTTGCAACCTGAGACCAATCATAACAGTAAACAGCAGTACCTAGGCACAGTGGAGATAATTAAACAGAAAGAATGGCAATTGCATAAGTCAAGGAAAGTCAGTTTTCAGGCTTATTATTTTAAAATGTCCCATCTCCTTTGTAATATGTGGTATGTAATGCACATAACAACATACACTGAATGTCATGTAACACGTGGTTTTACCTGTCCTTTGAAAGGCATTTGGTATTTCAAAGGAAAATACTGCTGAAGGCCCCAATCCAGCAAAGTACTTAAATCTGTGTGTTGCTACCATGGGAATACTCAACTGCTTGAGGTAACATCAGCTCCTAAGCACTTTTCTGGATTAAGGCAAAAGTTTACAGAAGCTGCAAGCAGTAAACTAGTTAATGCCATTTACAGATCCAGTTGAACAGAGGCAGGGGAAATAAGGCCAAAATGTACTTTCTATGGGTATGTCTACACCACATTCCTCTTTCGAGAGAGGAATGCAAATGCAGCTGAGCGAAATTGCAAATGAATGCAATTTGAATTTCCTGTGCTTCATTTGCATAATTGTGCCCAACCACTATTTCGAAATACCCTATTTTGAGATAAAAAACACCGTGTAGATGCAGTCATTTTGAAAGAAACCCCTTCTTTTGAAATAACCCTTACTCCTTAAAAAATGAGGTTTAATGGTTATTTCAAAAGAAGGGGTTTCTTTCAAAATGACTGCATCTACACGGTGTTTTTTATCTCAAAATAGGGTATTTCGAAATAGTGGTCGGATTCGATTATGCAAAGAAGCATGGGAAATTCAAATCGGCACTTCATTTGCAATTTTGTTCGGCTGCATTTGCATTCCTCTCTCGAATTCATACCCTATGTAATTGTGCAGTACAGTATAGCAGATATTGTTACTCTCATTCAACTCCTGAGTTCAGAGACTTATTTTGTGGAGTTCAGAAAATCACGTAACTTCTCTCTGTATCACTTTCTCCACAGGTAAAGAATGAGGATAGTTATTTATTTAAGCATCTCATAAGATGCTGCTATAAATCTGTTAGGTTTGGACAGCATGTGGCATTGTTTTTCTACAATGTAGGCATATATGGGAAATCACTGCTCTTTAAATATGCAACAGCATTCAAAATATGATGAATTTAAAAGTTAGAGAAGATTATTTTTAAGTGTATACACCACTTCCTACAAGAAATAAATCAAAATCAAGACATTCCAATTAAAATGAAATAGTAAAAAATAGTAAGTTATGGTAGCACATGTCGGTAAAGAGATAGCTTCTTCACATTACTGTAACAAGAAATTGATTCCAGTTGCATGTCATATTATACTCCACCACCAAAAAAACCAAACCAAAACAAAACAAAAAGTAAAAAGAAAATATTCAACATGTTGCCATGATTACACAGGTACCTGAGATTTAAAAGCTAAATCTCTTGTGCCTTTATTAAGCAACTATTATAGAAAGCACCATCAATCACTTTTCTAACAAAAAGGACTGTTATGTATAAAAAATGTTCTTGTATTAAAAATCACAAGTCGGTATAGAAAATCTCATTACATCTTATTAAATGTAGGTACAATGTAACATAACATGTAACTTCAGTAATTAATACTGTAATACATCTGTCTCTGAAGTACTGGAGAACAATTGTTTAAAAATCTAAGGCCTCTCAGGGAGATAATGTGTTTTGTATTTCACATTTCACTCCCCAGAATGCTACAGTTTAATAAAAAGATTGCTGAAGTCATTTATGGTATTTAACACACCCATTTCTCAAAGCTTGTTTTTTTAAAAGGAAAAATTGGTGAGGAGGTCCCAGCATGTGAATTGTTTAAACACAGAAAGTTATTTGAATGTCCTTAGGAGGCAGAGATAAAGATTTTCTATGTATTAATGTTCATTTTCTCCAGCACAGTGTATTTCTCTACACAATTTAAAACTGCTATGAAAAACCGCTATAAACTAACCAAGAATTTGATGGATTTCATATCTTCACCACATTTTGTAATGTTAAATAAGGATTCTGGTCTACAGTTATACAATACAGCCAGGTATAACAACTATGGGTCATGGGCAATTGATTTCAAAAGTGAACCTTAGTTTTCTTCTGAAAACAGAGCAACACACCTGTTTGAAAGAAAAATTAGCCTTGCAAGGCTCCTCTCTGCAGATTCCACAATGCTTACCATTCTCACTGCAATAGAAAATATAATTCAGTATTTAGCATTAAGTAGGCAAACTTGACAGAAGCCAAATATTAATTGAAGATATAATCATTGTTTAAGGGAGCAACTGTTCACATTCCATTTCCACTATGTCTTAATGAACATTTTTTCTTTGCCTGCAATAAGGACTCCACTCAAATTCTCTGACATTATCTTGCTCCCAAAAAAACATTTTTAACCTTATCAGGAGAACTCTCCTCTTGCCAAACAGCCAAAATTTTACCCAAGATCAGATATAAAAACAGTTCAATTGCAGCATTTAAAGTTTCCGTCTTCTCATGGGTACTTGATAACTTAAGTAATTGAAAGACTTTCACTTCTAGATTGATTGTTTAAATGCAATCTAGTTGAGAAGAACTGATGATTATTTTTTATTCGGTTTATGTATATCAGTATTTCTTTCCAATTTTTATTGACCTCCATGAGAGATCAAGAACTCTGGCCAAAGTCATCAAAAAGAAGAGTACAAAGAATAGGTGACTAAGTATAGACTTGGGATTAAAAAAAAGGGGGGGGGGGGGAAGAGATTTTCAAAAGTAATTAAGTTACTTCAAATAGGGCTGTGCTTCCAAATCTTTGGAAAATGCCAGACTCAGTTCTACATTCAGGCTCCAACTTTGAAAAAGGTTGGCCTCAGATAAATTGATGTTCATAGATAGTAACCATCAATATAACAACAGTGTATGTTTTTAACTTATTTTCTGTAAATTTTTATTTGACAATGGACTTCACCCTGCATCTATTGATTTTTGGGGGTGAATAAAAACAAATCTAATCCTTTTCTAAACATTTATCTAAGACTGTGGCCTTAATACAATCTAACTAGACTATTTTTTTCTTTACATCACCAAATTACCACCACCATTTCCATAATTAGTACAGGTTGAACCTTTCTAACACAGCACCCTCAGGACCTAACTGATGCTGAACCAGAGCATTTCCTGAACCATAGGAGGTCAAAAGTATCTAGTGGCATTGCCAACACTTCCACTGCTTACTGGGATCTTAGAAGACATTTAGGGGTAAATCTGAGCTAAATAATTAGGACTGGTATCTGTAAACCAACTTTATAGGACCACGGGAAATTTGGTCACACCCACGATAAGTGGACATCTAGCTAACTAAAATCATGCTGGACCATGGATGTTGCTGGTACAGAGAGTTCTGGATTAGAGAGGGTCAACCTGTATTCTTCTTAGTGGGAATAGTATAAACACCAAAGACTGAATGGAGATGTATCCCTAGAAAAGCATCAGTTTTATGGTTATTTGGAATGGTTGGTCACATTGATTGAAAATCCATCTGTACTCTAAACATAATTCACTAAAAGACAAAATAAATTAGTAAATAATGCCCATCGACCAAACTTACTAAATTTTACTTTTTGAAGAGGGCAATGACTATCTGCAGGATTCTTGTGAATATATTTATTGATTCATTATATTTCAGAATCAAACAGAACAGCAGCATTGCAGCAGGGAAGAAAACTCAGGTCACAGTGAAAGTTAGCCATTACACAATTTCAGTAGGAAAACTAAGTCAACATGATTATCTCTAGCTTTAAAATTACTGGAAACGTTGAGGTGAGACAAGATAGCAACTACAAAATTTAGATGTTTACTTGATATTTTTTTCCCAAAAAGGCAGCTGTGCACATGGCATCATGGAATTATTTACAATTAAATATTAAATAATTTTGATTACGTTTTTTTAAGAGACCATTTCTGAATTATGAACTTTTACACTGAGTGCTTGTCCAGCCAAATTTATGATAATTATCACCTTTAAAAATACTTTACTAACACTTCATTAAAAGTTTCAGATTGTTAGATCATAACAGATTTTTAAACACAAAGCACCCTTTCCTATTACAAGATCTTTAAGTGGGAGAAAGCAATATACGCTGTGTTCCAGAAATTTGCATACATCCTGCTTCAACAGTTGCAAAAAAGTACTTATTTAATAAATTAAGATTTTTTTTCTAATTTAATGTTTGAATATTCAAATAGACTTTACACAAAATAAAACAATTAATCTGTACCTATTACAGGTAACCTACATACTTAGCTTTTTTCCATTTGAAAGCCTTTAAGAAATTATGTCCTGCCAACTTAAAGTATTCATTTTAAAGTAATTTCTGAAAAATTGTCCAGCATTTAACAAAAACACCCACACACACAACAAAACCCACCAGACCAGCATTTGCTTTCTTGATTATATCAAGTAATTTCAAGTTGAGTTCTAGAAGGCAGGTTGGTTGTTTAGATGGACTGGGATTTTCCTATAGTTGTAGTGTACGCACATAGTGAAGGTGTTCACTGATAGAACCAGATGAAGATAGGCAATTATGGGAAAATAAAAGTTTTGTTTCAAAAGAATAGGCACTGAAATACGATTCCTTATGGACTTTCCTGGAGATTGTCTTTTCGCTGAGTATGATTCCATCTTTAAACTGAAAAAAATTAAGAAAGGATTATTAATGTTATGCATTAGGGCAGGCTTGGGCAATAAAGTGGAGGCAGTTCACTAGTGTTAGCCTCTGGTGGGCTGCTGCCACTATATTTACCTGCGCCTTGGCAGGTACAGGCGACAGCAGCTCCCATTGGCCAAGAACGATGATCCGTGGCCACTGGGAACTATGATCCTCCGTACCTGCCAAGACGCAAGTAAATATGGCGGTATGGGGACCCATCAGGGGCTATCCTCAGCAACTGGATAGTATTTGCCTACCCCTGAAGTAGGGATTAGTTTTATTTATTTTCAGCTTACATTTTCCCTTTTCTATACATTTAATACTATCAGTGGAAAAGGTAATTGAAATTGCACATACAAAAGGGTGAAAAATAGATTGGAAATATATTGTACAGCTGGGATATTTGTCTCCTGAGGCCAAACAGGCATTATTAGAATATTAGAATTATTGGAATATATTAGAATATTATTAGAATACAGAATTAGAATATTATTAGAATGTTTCTAAATCTTGCGTATCTAATTATATCATCAATGCAAAGTTCTATACACGTACTTGTCAGGAAGAGTAGATGTATTTATTTAATGGGACAGTATCAATCATGATAAAGGGCAAGTGAGTAAATTTTTTGTCTGCACTAGTATATGTTCATGACTATTTGGCAGACTAGTAAGATACAGGAGTTTCTTCTTCATTACATGCAAATAAGCATTAATAAAACAGGTAAAGCTAGTGAAGACAATAAAATAATTAGCAAGTCTTTTTTGCAGTGTTAACTGAAGAGGAAAAATAAAGTACTTAGAGTTTGAATGTATGCACTGTACTGTTTGTAGTTTACTTGTTAACCATACCTATTGCCTAGGAACAGCAGTTTTCTCCTTCTTGAGAAACACTATGCTTGGGGATGAGGCTTTCACACTGCTCACTTTCCTCTGGCATTCTTAAAAGAAATATCAAATTCATTTTGCAATTACAGAAACAATCTTAAACTGGTTGTACTGTGACACAGAGACGTGAATAGCAAAGATGACAATGCTAGAAGTTACATACCTTGAGTAGTGTTAATTAAAAACTAAATACTTAAGTGAATTACATATACAGGTTGCACCTCACTAAACCAGGAATCTATGGTCCAGCCAGACCACCAATGTTCCAGGACCACAGCGTCCAAGTGGAGGGCTGGCAGCTGGGAAACCTGAGGCCGCAGGGCAACAAGACTGTCTGAGGGGGGCAGGAGATAAGGGAGGTGGACTGGGGGCCTGGTACATGACAGTGGGGATACTTGGGGCGCTGGGAAATCCAGTGGGGCCAGCAGTGGGAGCAGCCAGGCAAGGGCTAAGGGTAGGAGGGACCTCCCCTGGTCTGGCAAAATCCCTCATCTGGGACCAGTCAGGTCCCGAGGGTGCTGGACTGGGGAGGTCAATGTGCGCTGTACTAGAAAGGTTATAATTAAGATCTATAGCTAGTGATTTGGTACCTCAGAGATGCAGCAAATACTACAGAAACAATAATTAAGCAAAAGCAAAACTGCAAAGAAAATTCTCTGCAGAAAAAATTCTTTATAGTAAAATGGGATTTTAAGATGGTGGCTTGTCCCCTGTCCCATGAAAAGTCCACTGACATACCTAAAGTTTCTTTCCGGTCTCTTTCCACTGTTATATTCTCCACACACAAACACTAAACAAAACACAAATCCAGTCCCTCTACCTTAACTAG